CCGTTCTCTCGCTTTCCCTTTCACTCATCTCACACACACACTCACACACACACACACACACACACACACACACACACAAATACACAAATACACACATAATTGTACAATCTTTTTCAAATAATTGCAAACAAACACGCACATACATGCATACAAAATCACACATGTACGCCTACAATCACACACACACTCACACACACATAATACAGAAACACGCATGTAATTGCGATCTCCCACTCTCACATAATCACACACACACGCACACACGGATGGACACAGAGTCGTTTTTGTCAATGGTGTCTTTTGTTTCTTTTATCTCAGCTCCAAACAAAGCATTCCTGTGTACACAGAGGAGAGAGAGAAGGAAGGAGAGAGAAAGAGGAAAGTAGAAAAAGAGAGAGAGAGAGGGAGATCAGGAAAACATTCAGCGCTCCTTTGTTTGGCAAAAGAAAAAGTTTTGATTCAGTTTTTGGATTCGGCTCACTCAGGCAGGGCAGTACAGTAAAGTTGTCGTGCTGCCATGGAGATGGAATACATCCTGCTGGAGAGGTTGGTCAAGAAATATTTCCCTCCTTTCACTCTCATTTACTCCCATTTTGCTCTATTAGTTATCTGATATATGCCTGTGGTGGAATTTGTGGTTTTTTTTTTGGGAAGTGAGTGTGTTTGTTTCAACATGAGTTGAAAGAGTGAAGATTTTCAATGGCGTCATTGTAATTATGAAGCTTTTGAGGGGCTCACCCTTGCATAATCACAAAAGTGTGATGTAATTAAAGCTGATTGGTTATGCAAGCCGTGATCAGCGTCGCATCGAAGCTATTTTGATTTACACAATATGGCCAAAAGTATATGGACACCCATGTTGTCATATGTTTGTTTACTTCTCCTGGACCAGACATACTTTCCACAGGTTGAGTTAGGTCCTTTCTGTCCAAATAAGGGAAGTCTGAATAATAGTTTTTCCCCCGTGCACAAATGGTCTATAAAGAATTTTTTCTATTTACGTTTGGTGTGGAAGAACTGGTCTGCAGAGAGCCCTGACCTCAAACCCATCCAACACCTTTGGGATGAACTGAAATGTAGACTGTGTACCTGGCCTAATTTAATTTAAAGTGCATTTACTTATTTATTTTGACTTCAGATGTTTGTGAGTTATTAGCAGGGTTTTTCCCTTTTGAATATTCCCAGATGTTTCCATTTAAAATCAAAAATCACATACAAAGGTAATGTTATTGTAATGGTATGTTATGTCCATATACTTTTGACCATATAGTGCACTGTTAACAACATGTTTATCAGGTGTAATTGTCTGTTTTGCATTAATGTGTATAAGGAATCAATACAGAGAGACCTTGTGAGGTTCCAGAGAATAAAGCAGCAAGAAACACCTGAGAAAAGTCAAACTTTGGCCCTTTTCCTACCAAACCTTTACCACAGGCTCCAGTTACCAGTCAGAAGTTCACTCTTTGTCCACTAAAGGCCTCCTTAGCTTTAATCAACAGTGAAGCCTTTAAAAAAACTTTATCTAGATAAACGTCAGAGTTTCGGACAAAGATTTTTTTTACCTTAATTGATTCATTCAAGTTTCTCCTCTCTCCTCCAGTTGACAAATGAGACTCTGTGTGAATAGTTTGTTTGGTTAATGCAGTACATCTTCGTCCTAATTCTACTCTTCCTTCTTTTCTCTTTCCTCTTCCTTATCGTCTTCTTTTGTGGGTTATCCTCTCCCTACTGGATTCGTTGGACGTAAGTCAGCGTATCAAATGTGTGGAGATACAGTATTGTCAGTGTGTGACAGGGGTGGATTGCACGTGAATGTTCTGACAAGGGCACACATTCATACTAACATCCCACAATGTAAAGCACTATAAACACAGATATTACTGTAACTCACAAGTGACTGATGCAGGTTGGGAATATTTGCAGTTCATGTTCTTTGCATCATGACAATAACACATGGGAATTTCTGGTTGAATCAGCCCTGTAGATATCACATATGCACTATAAAAATCATCTGCAAATAGTTTCCGTCTGTAACACCACTTCCCCAGCCCTAATACGTCATTATCTTAAATAGCACCATGAAGTTAGCAACTAAACTGTTCACACTAGTGTTTAGCGCTGATAGAATAGGGTGGGAGATCTCAATAGTTTGCTAGTACTTGGTCATATTGGACACATTAAAATATTGACCTGTATGCTAGAGTCATTAGAATTCAGCATCAGGAGACCATACACGTCGGTACAAAACTTCATGTCAATTCATCTGATAGAGATAAAGATATCACTGGACCAACATGGTAGACCGATTGACTGACAGGGGGCCATGATGCTAATAAAAACCTTTCGCTTCTTTACTGACATATTCATGACATATTGTAACACACAGATCACTATCACACTATTTCTTTTTCCGTCTCACCTCCGTGTTTCATTGTGACTGTTGTAACTCTAGCCTTCAACCTATTTAAAAAAACAACCTTATCTTTAGTCATGGATGCTAAAGAATGGTTTATAATTGCTTCATATTTAAGATGTTAAGATGTTGAAATCAGTGGGGAAACTAATGGGGGAAACTAATGGGGAAACCAGAAGGACAGTTTTTCCTCTAACAGCTTTAAGTTAAAGAGAATTTACGAAATCAATTGAAAAAACACTTCTCGAAATCTAACGTCTTCCTTAAGACAAGATTGTCTCTTGGTAGCCAATGTCGCTTCCTCTATTATATCTTTAATGACCTTTACACTGAGGCAAACTGAGGGCCTCAGTATGCTTCAAACGAATTGCATATGAAATACCCCCCCACTACCGTTCCTATATTTTAATAGCGAAGACAATTGTAAATTTCCAACACCAATACAACAAGCACTTCATCAGTGGTGTACAAAGGTGAAACAGTGGGCAGGATTTGAACTTTTCTTTTCTATTCGTGCAATATGACAGCAGGCTTCTTGGGCCTGTCTTTGAGTGTTAGGACATCTATACAGAGTTTTGCCTTTAGACAGAACCTTGTACAAAGTAGGTTGTTTTAAGTGCAAAGAGCTATATTTTGGGTCTGTTTGGCTTGATTGACAGTTCTCTCTGGCTGGTTTTACTTGACACAGCACTTGATTTTCTGGTTACGAATTACTTATAACATGACATTGAGTATAATCCCTAAAATCTGCAGGGTTCAGGATCACTTCCAAAATCATAACATGAGTCAAAAGATAGAGAACATCACACGGTAAACCCACTCAGGTGTTTTTTTAGTCCACACCTCTACATTTAAATACACTATAAATAGGTATTTGTCAGTGTGGTTACCTCAGGAAACTCCCACTATAGTTCCACCAAATTTCAGCTGAAAATTTAGCCACACTTTGTGGTGTGCATGGCCTTTCAGGTTTTGACTTATTAAAACTGTGGTTAATTCCTGCTTGTAATTCAGAGTTCCAGTTTGATGTTTACTTGTCGCTGTAGTTTATTTTGCCACATATTTTGAATATAATCAATGACAGGTTTGGTTTCAAGTATTATTAGGTTCGCTCAAGATAAATTCCCCTGAATACGAGAGCAGGTGGTTGCAGGGGGAAGTTACCAAAACCTACAGTCATCAGGGGAAGTTTCTACATTTTTCCAAATGCGAACGGAAATCACCATTATCTTAATCAGATGATAAGGTCCTGCTGATGTTGTTAATACTGTGATACTGGGATGCCCAAACCTTTTCTCTTGGAAGACCAAACCCGAAACTAGATGGTGGGCCACAGGCCAAAAACAAACGCCTATTGTATTGTATTGTTAAGATGTAAAATGATCTCAAGTTCCGTCAATTCACTAACGTAGTATACAGTGTCATTCTGATCACTGTGATCAGATTATGAAAAATTATTCATAATTAGGAATACTACATATTATATTAGAATTTTTACCTCACAAAAATACAACAGCATAAACAGCTACTTTTTGTTTCACTATCAACATCTGGTGGGCCAAATTGGTCAGGAGGCCCCATTTTGGCATCCAACTTCTTTTCAGTAAGCTTAATTAAAGAGCTCCCAGTCCACCCCAATAATCTCTTTATAACTAATACCATTTTGAGAGTACTGACCAGGAAACAAGTCAATCAAACATATGATTTAACTCCTCTTTCTTTGTTATTCACCAGATGACATCTGCCACACCTCCTTCCTCTCGTAGCTCCTCGCCTCAGAAGGTTTGCCACTCACAGACCCAGACAGATGTTTTAAAACCCTTACTGGGTGGTGGCATTTCCGGTGGTGGCGGGACTCTGAGGAAGAGGAGACGTGTCCTGTCCAAAGATGGCCGTAGCAACGTGCGCATTGAACATGTCAGTGGGCGGAGTGCTCTGTACATGCGTGACCTCTGGACAACTTTTCTGGACATGCAGTGGCGCTACAAGTTCTTCCTGTTCACGGCCACATTTGCAGGGACCTGGTTCCTGTTCGGGGTCCTGTGGTATCTGGTGGCACTGGTACATGGAGACCTGCTTGGTGAGTTAGCATGGATCGAAGGTTGATGTATAGTTTGATGTATCTTCTTAGGACTTAAGGTGTGTTCACAATCTGTTTGGAGTTAATGGTCACACAATGACATGTCTCCTTCCATAGCCACTCCCCCAGCACACATGAACACACCATGCCTGACTACTGCTGGAGGACGAGTTACGGCCTGAATGAAATGATTGACTGGGCTTACAGTGGATTTTAAATAAATAGAACAAAAACGCTTCTGAAATACATACTCCCAAATACCAAATCTACAAAACAATTTAAGTTAAAATATTACATGTATAAGCACTTTATTAGACTGCCTATCTATCCTGCTCATATTTTGTAGTATTAATTGCAACAGAAAGTCTTTTCTCAGAGGAAATCTACTAATTCTGTTCAATTGACCTAAAAAATATCCACACCCAAGATGCATTTACAGTCAACTGTAACTGTGCAGAGCATAGACAGATTGAGACATGCTGGGTGTCATGGTTCAAATGCGCTTTTTTAAGTTGTAAAAAGGGTGTGTTCAAGCTAAAACAGTGTGCTGAGACATACAATATTTCAGTTCCTGAGCTCTGGGGTGTTGGTCATTATGAGTCAACTCCAGGAAATGGTTCAAAACAATAGTTTCCCTAAGAATAAAGAGGCAGGTGATGAGGAGGAGCCAAAAAGGGTAATTTATGAACGTAATCCACACAAAATTCTGATCATGCAAAGAGTCATTGTGGGATTTTTGTGACATGCAGAAAAATCTATTTGGGTTAGTATTTGTCACATGACCTGCAGTTCCCATACTGTTCCTGGAGCCGAGGTTTATAATAACCATTGACAGTATATATACATCACACTATGTGCAAATATCTTAATTGGTTTTTCCCTTAAATTATCTGAAAACTTATTATAAAAAGGTAATATCACATACTTCCAGACACCAATCAGGATAACATTTTTTTTTAAAAACTTTGTCCATGTGCCTTTATTTTCACACATCAAGTGTGTGTGCAGTTGTGCAAAAAAGCAATTGCATGCACACTAATACTGTGAAACACGTGAACACAGTTGACAAAGTTGAGATCATGTTTAACTCAAAGGGCTTGCAATGTGTTGTGCTGCAGTGTAACCCTAACCCAAGTGTTAGAATGGTGGCTAGGAAGTGAAGAACTGCTGTCTTAAAGCAAGCTGTCTTTTATATGTCCTTTCAATTTAATCTGTCTTTTAAAAAAAAATCTAATTTGTGTTATTGTTTTATCAATTTTATATACATAAAGTACTTTATGACTTTGTTTTAACATTTATTTAATATTGTATTTCCTGAACCCAGGTTGAACTAACCCTGACAAAATTAAACATTAGTGTCAGGAAATAACCCTTCATATCTTTAACAACACCTGCTCTCAACTTCCAACTTCCTCTAATGCTGTTTGCTCAACTGAAAATGTTGCATAAAGATAGAAGGTTGTGCCAAAAACTTGTGTTCTTCCCTTTAAATCTTTCACTTTTGAGACATAACAATGACCACCTTCTCATAATAAAGTGTACAGAAGAAGAAAAAAAGACACACAAACTGTTATGTTAACATAACATAGAATAACGTCAATGAGCTTTTGTTGCTTTTTCAACCTTTCTCCTCCAGAATTTGACCCTCCGTCAAACCACACACCCTGTGTGCTGCAGATGCAGACACTGACAGGGGCTTTCCTCTTCTCTCTGGAGTCCCAGACAACCATTGGTTATGGTTTTCGCTGCATCACTGAGGAATGCCCGGCTGCTATCATCTTACTCATCATCCAGCTGGTCCTCACCATGCTGATGGAGATCTTCATCACTGGTACCTTCCTGGCCAAGGTAGCCAATACATTACACATCAAGCTGCAAAGTGAGATACAGTGAAAAGTATTTACCACGTAAAGCAGAACACCCTACCTTAGAGGTCCACTGTGTAACATTTAGGAGGATCTATTGGCAAAAATGTACTATAATGCTCATAGGTATGTTTTCATTAGTATATAATCACCTGAATAAAGAAATTCTTACATTTTTGGTTGCCTTCCATGGAGACTATGATAACCTATGAATATTATATTCCTTTTTTGCCAATAGATCATCCTAAATGTTATACAATGGACCTTTAAATGACTCAAGCACAACTGTATACAATTCCTTGCAGTTTGCATTAATCTGTGTTTATGCTGACAGCAAGACTCTTAGGTTGGAGATACTTGCTTTTAACGCATGATGACGTATCCTACATATCCATTTGGCCCGTTGGTTGTCCACGTCCTCAGAAATGAATGTGTGCTTAAACAGCAAGTATATCTCTCTCTTCTCAAAGACTGAAACCAGTACTGATTTCTCTGCTTAGGTTGCTCGGCCAAAGAAGCGAGGTGAAACAGTGAAGTTTAGCCAACATGCTGTGGTGTCGACTCAGGAAGGCCGACCCTGCCTGATGATCAGGGTGGCCAACATGCGCAAGAGTCTCCTGATTGGGTGTCAGGTGAGTGTGTTTATACATAATTCATCAGATATTTCCTTTTTTTTTATAAATTTTACTAGTTTGTCTAAAAGAATAAGACACTTAAATAGGAAATAATGAAATCAAATCAAACAGGTCACAATACAATATGTGTTGGTATGGTTGGTGTATGGGCAATGTTTCAAACTGGGAACCAATTTAGCTAAAACAACCATTGTTCCCTCCCAGGTGACTGGAAAACTACTCCAGACATCCCTGACCAAGGAAGGCGAGACGGTTCGTCTGGACCAGAGGAATGTACCCTTCCAAGTTGACACATCCAGTGATAGCCCCTTCCTCATCCTGCCCCTCACCTTTTACCACCTCATTGATGATAACAGCCCCCTGCGAGCCTGGGCAGCCAAGGGTAAGTTTGATGGTGAGGGCAGGAGATTTTGTGGGTGGTGGTAGTGTCGTAATACAAGGTGTTTTATCTTAGTGATCTTCTGACTTATGCTGAGTCAATCAAACAATATGGTTTTTAAAATCCAGTGGATTTAAAGGTTTTTAAATCCACGGCTCTCACCTACTCCCTTGTACATCACCAAGCTAGTTTAAGAGTGCTAGTGGAGAGTGCCAATACAGATTCCCACTGCCCTGTTGGTAATGAAGGTTGATTTATAGTGTGTTAAAGCTTTTTCTCTAGGTGTCTGGCTTTGTCTCCATAGATGTAAAAGGAACATGATAGCTAGTGTGCATATTTTCACTTCATGTGCTCAGGAGGACATTTTTGTTTACTGTAGAGTAATCCAGGGGTTTTTAAAGTCTGGGACTGTTGGCCTCCCCTCAGACAAAGCTAGGAAAAAAGTAATCTCTCTAGATAACCCTATACGGTAATCTAATGTTACGGAAGTTCTACAACACTATGGTCTGTTAATATAACGTTGCTTTCTGCCGGCTACAGCAACACTTATTCAAAGAATGTTCCCTTTTTTTTTTTTAGAAATGATTACATTTCCAAGAAATCATGTGATGGCTGGTAAACTGCATATCTCCCAGACCTAAATTTCCTCTTTTTAGTGGTTGGTTCAGATGGTGTGTGAACCATATTTATCCACTTGCATGACAAAGTTTTATATTTTGCTTGAGTCTCTCACATGCGTGTGCATATGTGCATCCTCATGAGCATCCATGGGATATGAATAAAATGCTGCTTATAACGACATTGCTCCATAGCACTACTCGTGGTCAAAAACTGCAATGTGTACCTTTTATGTTTAGTGTGTATTATTGTTTCCTCCTTCCTCTCCCATTTTTCCTTTTTACCTTCTGCCTCTTCTTCCTTTACCCCTCTGTAATGTATCCTCCCTCCCATCTCATTTACCTCCACTAGGTGGGGGCTGGACAGATCCAGAATTGGCAGACTTCGAGCTGCTGGTGATCATGAGCGCTACAGTTGAGCCGACCTCCGCCACTTGCCAGGTTCGCACTTCCTACCTGCCGGATGAGATTCTCTGGGGTTATGAGTTTCCCCCTGTAGTCTCCCTTTCCCCATCAGGCAAATACGTAGCAGACTTCGCCTTCTTCGACAAGGTGGCCAAGACCAAGACCACGCCCATCTTCAAACCATCTAGCCCCCAGCAAGTGTACCAGAGCAACGGGGGTGGGACTGTACCTGAGGTGTCTGATCCGGACAAGATTCGATTGGAGCAGAGCTACAGGGAGAGAGGGGACGAACGTGGCCGGGCCAGAGAGACTCCTCTCAGTGTTCGCATCAGCAATGTGTGAACAGAAGGGAGCATTTCATAGAGTGCAATGCACAGGAGACTGATTTGCTGTCAGTGTCAACAGCAAATCAATGAAACAACATATCAACACAACTTGGGAGACTGTCTTTTTCGACTGTTTTGAACTTGTATCAGAAAGATATGTGGGTCCCAGTAGCACCAAAATCATGCATAAAGCAAATATGGAAGACTGCAGACTACTGTTGTATCAAGTTTGTCAATGGCATATGTTTTACACTGGTTTGACTGTATTCATATGGCGGCATAACACACTGCCTAACTGCAGCTAATGTATGTGTTTTGGGTCATATACTGTAGACACAAAAATAACAGCTTGGTTTATTTATTCACACAGGAAAAAAAGAATCATAAAAATCAAAGATAGAAAACAAAAGAAGCAGTGGAGAGTACGGAAAACTTGGTGGGCTTGTTGGGTTCTCCCCCTGAGTACTCAATGTGAAATCACACACAGAAAGGTTTGTGAAAGTGTCAGTGAGTATGAATGTGTATTTTCCACTGTTAGGGGTACATGAAGGAGTACGGGGGAGGGGTGCTTTTGGGGGAGGCTATATGTTCATAGGTTTTACACTCTTCACTGTTAATCTACAGATTAGACAGTTATGGAATAACTAAATCTTGTCAAATACGGGTCTGTGGCCTAATGTGTATCAGTTTGGGGGTCCTTGACACCAAAAAGGTTGAGAACTACTGTATTGGTCATATGACTTTGAGTTTCAACTTGGTTTGCTTCTGTTGCAGTAAAAACACCAATGAGTTAACCTCGAACGCACAAAATCCCCACCCCCAAACTCTCTCATATTTTAACATTTCCTGTTTTAAACTGACAGAAGTATTGGAGTAAAAGACACAGCGTAAATGATATGCATTGTACATGGCAATGTACTGTAATATGTTAGCACTTTAGAGATTCTGTTACACTAACGTAGCACTACAACTGGAATTTAGACAAATGTGAGATTGAATATGTTGTGTTAAAGGTGCTCTGTATCTCTTTCTTGTTTTCTGTTATATACTATGACTGTTATTACTGTTAGCACTTTATGTAAGTACATGCACCTTTGCACCTTAGGAAGGTTAGCTGTTTGGAACCTTAAGACAGGAGATTTTAATACTACTAAAAGCATTTGCATGTTGAATATCATTGGATTTGAAGTTAAAATTAACTTTCAAACAGAGCTTCTTTCCTACATTACTAAAAGCTGCTGTACATACATGGATGTAACTGCCCATCTAGTTGTTTGAAAGTGTTACTGTTACACCAGATGGCTGAGAGATGAGAATGTAATGTTGTAAGTCACTGATAATGACTTTGAAGGAAATGTGTGACAATGATGGTTAGGCATGATGAATGAAACAAATATGTTGGAAATTGTATTTGTAACATTTCCTTAATTAACATCAAACTCTGGAATGTTAATAGTGTTTAGGAGAGAGAACAAACGAGACGAATTCTCTCTAAAAAGTGATTTAATAAAGCTGGGTTATTAAAGGCCACATTTTGTTTGTAAATGTGTCTTTAAAGGTCCAGTGTGTAGGATTTAGTGGCATCTGTTGCAGATTGAAACTCCCTTGCTTCATCCTTCCCTTTCATGCACAAAGGAGAAACTGTGGCTCCGGAGCGTGTGAAAATCTAGAGCCAGTGTTTGATTTGTCCCTTCTGGGCAGAAAATAATTCTGCAGTGCAATTTCTGAATTTGAGTCTGGGAGAATGTAAACGGCAGTAACAAGATAGTGATGAAAAGAATATAGTTTTCATCTTCACATAAAAAGTTTGGCATTTGAGGTGCCCTGATAGCTCACATGGTAGAGCTAGTGCCCCATGTATCAAGTCCTTGCTGTAGTGGCCATAGGTCATCTCATCCGATGACATAACATAGTAGTAACATAGTATTTTGCTTAAGGTACAGGCTGGCAAAGTGCAGTAGGTCCTAATGAACTGCACTTGAAGCTGGCGGATGTTTAATTAGTCATAGCCTAAATGATAGTCAAGTTATGGCAATTTCTTTATGTAGTCCAATATCACAACTCTGCCTCAAGGGACTTACAGCATACAACACCCTCTGTCCTTATACCCTCAATTTGGATAAGGAAAAACTACACCCTAAAAAAACATGAAAAAAAATGGAAGAAACCTCAAGAAGATCAACACAGGCGGGATTCTCTATGAAGATGGATAGACATACAATATTTGTTCATGTGTGTACAGAATATAACAACAGTACATGCACAGGAGGATTCACAGTCGAATATGAGAGCCATGGCACATAAAACTATAGACCACACCCTATTCACTACACTTCACTACACATCATGAAAATACTCAATCGTCAATGGTGTTTCTCAAAGAATTATACATTTAATTTGGAAAAGGGGGTTATTTCTTCCATAGAAACATTTGCAATAACACTAGTTTACAGTGGATTGTCTTGACAAAAAACATTTACGAGAAGCTGCTGAGTTCATTCCGTCAAAAGCCTCACCACTTCCTCGTTCACCACATTTTGTAAAATGGGGCCCCTAGTCGTACTTCTCTTTGCTGTTCCTCTGCTGCTTTTGTGTGAAACACAAGGTAAGAACTTTTTTATTTATATTCCCATTGTTGACAGACCTTTCTGGTACTGTGTAAGGCTATTTAAGCAATAGAAGTTACATTAAAAAAATATATTTCATTGAAACTATTTTTTTTAATTATATACAGTAATACTGAGAAATGTTTGCAATGTACTCATTGTTAATTATTTCAATAGTGCTGCCAGTAAACTGTAAAACTATAACTTTTTTAGTTTGATATATTGAGATATACAGTAAAATTAGTTACCCCACTCATTCGATCCAGACACAGATTTAAAAAAAAACATTATTTTAACCCAATAGATAACAGTAGACTGATTGATCTTGAGATGAGCTTATTAAGATTTTATGATTTAACAGTTTAATAATATTGAAATACTTGATATAATGATTAACTGAAAAACCAGAGATGTACGCAATAATTCAGAAGTATGGAAACGGTTATAGCAGTTTTTAACTGCATGATGTAAACTCTTACTAAAAACCCCAAATTCCCTTAAAAAATACCCATGATGTGATCTCAGTGCAGGGACATAGCACAAAATTCTTGACCCTGTACACCCGCGTTCTCTATGGGCACCTCCCTGCGCACATGAGTGCCCTGTATACTCAGTAACCCCACCCTGTCGTTAATCTGCATGATTATATTATACAGCACAAAAAATAATCTAGTGTAGAGTTCATCTGAAGTCATTAATCAATACATTTATTTTATTTCACCAGGATAATCTATACAATATCAATACTTCTATCCCAGAAGTCTTGGGTACAAAAAAAAGTTTTCTAAAAACTCTGATGTCAGCTTTCACACAACTTTAACCCCTGGGTTGATGGTTACTGAAAATAATTAAAAATAAAGCTCTATGCAAAGCTCTAAGACAAAACAAAGCTTGAAACCGTCCCTGTAGCATTTGAGGGTGTCCAAGCATTTTCTAGAGAAAAGAGCTGCTGCAATATACAGCGAAAAACATGAATATCTTTTACCTCGAAACATGAGGAAACCAGACTTCCGCATAATTCACTTCCTACATAACTTAATGCAGTCTTGTTAAGTATATATTTATAGATGTAACAGTGAAGTCACACACACACACACAGCAGTGCTAATCATGATAAAGATTAGTATCCACTTTAATCCCCTCACACATCTTTTTCAAATTCAGTACTACATTAAATTGAGTTGTCTTTAGATGTTGTACCACTGAACAGAGGATTTCCTCGGAGGTTCTGTTATAAGTAATAAACATGAAACGTTTCTGGCTTTATTTTGAAAGTGTAACCGGACGTTGCTATCTATTTTCCTATTTTCCCTTTTGACGCATCGGGAATGAGA